GCTTTTGTGTGATTTTGGTTGCATCGTGTTGTTGAAGTGCTTTTCCACAACCACCAGTTTATTATTATATAAATAAAACTTATAATCGCATTGACTTTATTTATCAGGTAGTAAGCAAAATATGTCTCTTAGGTAGGTAAATAAAATAAAGAGTTTCAAATGTCTAACCTCGAACCATTTACTTTATTATTAAATATTATCAAAGTTAAATTATCAAAATATGCGGGAATCATGCACAGATCCAGGCCATTGCACAACAATATCATATATTTCCATTTGCGGTCCACATACTATTTGGACATTAATAGAAAACCAGCCTTGAGGAACGTTCAAGGTACGTCGCGACGTACCTTAACTTGACAGTTCGCTTACTTCACTCCGGTTAGGAAAATTTTCCAAGGACGTTTGAGTGGAGTTTATTTTTACGACTAATCATACCAAAACGCGCGTTGGAGGTTGAGTCGAGTCGAGTTAAGCTCGTGTAAACGACTAAAGATACGAGTGTAAGCATACCAAAACGCGCGTTGGAGGTTGAGTAGAGTCGAGTTAAGCTCGTGTAAACGACTAAAGATACGGGTGTAAGTTATCATATTTTTAGTCAACAACAGACAGGCGGGAATGTAAGAATAAAAATATATTAATTACTACGGAAGCTATTATCCACTTGGGTCACTGACTTGTGGCACACAAAGTATCGCTTACATAAATAATAACTATAGACATATGTCTTTAAGAAATATGTCTATAAGAAGTACAATATGAATGGTGCCCAGTTTGAGATATCTCGTAAACTGAATTAAATTTTGTATACGTTTAAAATTAATCAAACAAAATATAGTCGATTGCGCTTCATTATTAACCCTATACTATTACTATAATTACCTAGTATAATTGTTATCCTGACACACAATTTTACTTTTAAATTGATGATCTTATCGTGATATCGTGAAGAAACTATAATACGTTATTATGTACATGTTGCTCGAATGAAAACAAACAGAACCATATTGGTTTGGATTCACATGTAGCTGTATAACTATTTAAATCAGTGCACGTACATGCAAACGAGAACGGAAACTGCATAACAATCAGATGCAGCTCCAGCAGGTCAACAAACACGCAGGCAGAGATGACTCACGTAAAATATTACGTACATTTTCTGAATATTTTTATACTAGCGACCCGCCTTCGCTTCGCTTCGGAAACTGTAATTTATTATTGATTTCTCCACTATTTAATTGATGTTATTATACATATAAACCTTCGTCTTCAATCAGTCAATCTATTAAAAAAAACCGCATCAAAATCCGTTGTGTAGTTTTAAAGTTTAAAGGACAGACAGATATAGGGACAGAGAAAGCGACTTTGTTTTATACTATGTAGTGATATATGTAGTTTAAATCATCAGTATCGTAATTATTTGCGAAAGTTCTTGAAAATTCTTACAACACAAAAATATGTGTTGGTTTCTAAAACTCGTGTATTAACTACCAAAATTTTTTTTATTGAAATTTTCGGTTAACTTATTGAGTAGAGGATGTAAACAACAAAGAATTAGTGAAGTCACTGTGTGGCTAAACACTGGACTTCTTCAGTCAGAATTCAGTCAACTAGCCACAAGCAATACCTACAAAATACTAATACACCTGCTTAATAGTTCAACGGTTTTTAAATCCAGGTACGCTACCATTAAATATCCAATAGTTCAAACCGATCCATATAAACGTTAAAACTCCCGTACGTGTTCTGTAAAAATTGTTATCTTTGGTCGAATTCAAAATAATGAAATACTCGTAATGAGATAAGAAAAAATCTCCAATAAAGAATGGACCCATTGGTTGCTTCATTTTTTGTGGCATACTTTGGTGGCATGGCAAGCTAATGACGCTCAGGGAATTCCCGCATTTTGTTAACCGAGAAAGTACATTCGTTGTCGATCTAACAAAATCTTGTAGATTCGATTCTTTTAAAGCCGGATGGCGGATGGTGCTAACCTTCGAAGTTGCGAAGTTGCGAAGTTGCTAACACAATGTCCCACTTATAGTGGTATTAAAAAACTCATTAAAGGTACTATTACTCTAATGCAGTATTTGTTTTTACTGTTCTGTTCATACTTAAATTTAAATCTGGAAACTTCTAATTTGTTTCACATATTAGATGGGATATCTTATCAAGTTCCAGTCTTCAAGTATCTGATAAAGAAAGGGAGTCTTCAATTTCGATAACATTAAAAATATTGAACATCACTAAATGGGACATTATGATGCTATTTTTGCTATAAAAATTCGGTTTTAGATTTTTAAAAACTAAGCTATTTTACTTAAAAAGAAGATAGAAAACTAAAATTGACTTTGTTATTGACTTTTCGTTGTAAAATTCAACAAACTATCGGTGCAGTCTAAAGCATTTCAGTCTTAAGTTACCGATCTATCAAACGCCTTAGAAGATTGACAGTTTATCTGGAAAAATTAATAAAAATAAATAAATATAAATATTTACTAACAATCACGCCACGTTAACTGGTCCCGTGATAAGTTCGTAAAGAACTTGTGTTACAGGTACCAGATAACGGAAATAAATATAAGATTTTTGTTATACACATACATATATTTAATATACATCCATAACCCTGGAAAAGACATTTATATTTATCATACAAATATCTTCCCTTGGCGGGATTCGAACCCGCGACCCCCTTGTGTAGTGACCATGTCACTTACCACTACACCAGACGGCCGTGAGAGCCGTTGCATTGGAGAGCTAATGAAAATGATCATGTTTTATCAAGTAAGTAGGTACATCATTATTAATCAACCGATACCGCGTTTCCTTCCAATCAATGAAATTGTTTCAAATTCTATTGTTTTGGAACATGCCACTTTGCCAAATTTCAATGATACCGATCTATTTAAAATACACTGTTGAATTGCTTGAAATTTATAAAATTAGACATTTCTAAATTATTTGCCAGAGAAATTCTTAGTTTTCTGTTCACCTATATACGAAGTAGAAAAGTCTTCGAGTATTAAATAACTTGCTTGCGCTTGCTTGGTTTGTTATTCCAAAAAAACAACGTTATTCCGCTATAACTACTGAACCATGCATCCGATTGGCTTGAAACTTGTTATCCATATACAAAAGAATGTACTCAATGGATAGGCTAATATTTATATGAGTGTTGGACTCCCTAATAATAATAACAATAAATAATAATGTTAATTTTAAATGTCCAGGGAAGCGGATGAGTACGGCTAGTATTCTATATATATTCTACACAACTGTTTATTGCTCATTAAAAAATTAAGAAGTCAAACTCATTAACTACCGTGTTAGGCACTCGCTTTCGACTTTATAATTACAGGATTAAAGTAATTCGCGTGCGTCTCTAATGATAAAAATGCATTGTCGCAACTGAATGATAATGTAAACATTGTATACATCTTGATAAAATACTAAAACACATACTCTTCTTTGTTATAAATAAATAATACCTTTATCGATCTTCAAAAGTAATTTCAAAGATTTCGAACTATATTCGGAAGGTCAAAAATTGGCTGATACAATCATTTGTTTACTTATATTATATTTACGACACAAAATTAATCTTAAATTAAAAGCACCGACACCGTTGATGATAGTGATAAGCATTATTGAAACGATTCCTAGATATAAACTATTCAAATGGTTTATTTTAATTTGATAGACAATATTAGATATAACAGAGATCATAATCATAGGCACGATATCGGAAAGGTCATCTTCTATTGAACTTGATTTTTTGATATGCATACAATTTTTTTTTATTACCCTTGTACACAGACGAGCATACGGCTCACCTGATGGTGAGTGGTTACCGTCACTCATGGACTTCAGCAATGCCAGAGGCAGAGCCAAGCCGCTGCCTACTGTTCTCCACAACCCTCAAGGACATGCTATAGCGCTCGGGAAACACCGTGGAGCGTAGCTCATTCTAAAGCCAGATGGTACGTGGCAAAAAAGATCGCTTATATCGTAAAGATAGTCTTTGAATAATATAATCCTTTATTCGAAATAGAGAATTCAATACAAATTGTCATAGAAATGTGTTTGAAATTTAAAATATGTATACCAAAGAAACAAATTGTTACCAGCGGATAATTCGTATAATTTTGAAGTCGTCGTGGCCTAAGCGATAAGACGTCCGGTGCATTCGTGGTGAGCGATGCACCGGTGTTCGAATCTCAGGCGGGTATCAATTTTTCTAATGAAATACGTACTCAACAAATGTTCACGATTAACTTCCACAGTGAAGGAATAACATCGTGTAATAAAAAACAAACCCGCAAAATTATAATTGGCGTAATTACTGGCGGTAGGACCTCTTGTGAGTCCGCGCGGGTAGGTACCACCGCCCTGCTTATTTCTGCCGTGAAGCAGTAATGCGTTTCGGTGTGAAGGGTGGGGCTGCCATTGTAACTATAATTGAGACCTTAGAACTTATATCTCAAGGTGGGTGGCGCATTTACGTTGTAGATGTCTATGGGCTCCGGTAACCACTTAACACCAGGTGGGCTGTGAGCTCGTCCACCCATATAAGCAAAAAAAAAATATGACTCGACTTTTTCTGTTTTTTTATCAGAGTACTTACTCGATGCAATAAATTTATAGATACAATATGTAGTAGTTTTTCAAGCCAGTCTAGCCAGTCCGCATAATTGGTTCTGTTCATACCAACAGAGCTTCCGACATGTTTCCCTTTTAAATATGCCACTTATGTCAGTTTAAAACTAGGCAGTTTACATTATAAAGTAATTTCTTGTTAAGATAACTTTGAACTGTAACCATTCTCTTCCTTAATCCATAATGGAATGAAATAATGAGCATTACTGCACTAACTTCAAGCGATATTTATATTCGATCCTTTATCGTTCTATTCTCGGTTCCACGGAAACACATACGAATGGAAAGACAGCCATCAGTAATAACAAGTACCGATATTATATAAACTGTATGCACAGTGCAACAAACTGAATCAGTGCCTGTCCAGCTAACAACAAATACGCGCTGTAAATGCGTGCCAGTTACGCTTGTGTTATCACGTCACACACGTCGCGGTAAAATCTAGAAAAGCGCCTCCTTGTTGACTACAATCACGAGGAAATGAGAATAGGTTCATTATCGAACGTAACAGCCGTGTAGATTGAAATTAAGTTATCTGGACGATCTACAGTGTGTCAGGCATTGATAAAGAAACCGTAATTTGATTTAAAACCTGTTTCAGTAAAATGACATTCATCAAATTACTTATATCCGTGCAGTTCGTATATTGATTAACAAAAATTTTATCGGTAGTGCATTTGTTAATTGAATTTAATATTGTTTAAAAGAAGATTAATTTTGATCTAGAAAATGTCCAATTCAAGGTATTTATAACACAAAAAGAAACGGTTTATAAAAACAATATTTGTCATCTACCTACCAAAATAATTATTTTAATAATTGAATTTTTTTCTTGTATTGCAGAAGTTTTACTCGCAACAGAATTTATAATAACATACTAGAAACTATCGGTGATACACCGCTTGTTAGACTCAATCGAATTCCAAAAGACTATGGCTTGGAATGTGAAATGTGTAAGTTTAATTCACAATGTCAGTTTCAAAATTATAAACTAATATATTTATTTGTAATTAACCTGATTAAACATATTTCAAGCTGCCAATAACAAAAAGATTTAAGCTCGTAATTTGTAATACTAAATTCTTTACGATACCAATATAATGTTACAATAAATTTTAAAACTTAAAACTTGTACACAGTTGCAAAATGTGAATTCGTGAATCCCGGTGGTTCGATTAAAGATCGTATTTCATATACAATGGTACTGGAAGCACAAAAATCAGGAATTGCGAAATCGGGCACAAGATTCATTGAACCGACATCAGGAAATACTGGTATAGGTGTTGCTTTAGCTACGGCTGTCTGTGGTAAGTGAAGTGATTACGTTCAATCTCATTGGAAAAACTCTTTGTGCGTTAGTATTACTGACTGAGATTCGTTTGTTCATATTATGCTAATTTAATCATTGGTATTTGTCACGTATCCTTTTTTATATTTAAAAAAATATCTATTTTAGCCTGAAGAAACCCTTTAGAATTGCGTAAATAAGTGTTTTTGTTTTTTAATAATTTATGGTAAAAGTTTCGATGATATACTATAATACATAATAAAAAAAAATCTGAAACCGTGATAAACCAAATGACCAATGATAAAGTTAACATATTGTGAATAAGCGATAAGATAATTGTACAAAGCAACTTTCGACTTCAGTACTGGCGTGATTTAGGAGAGAGTCGATTTTACAGCAATTAATAATTGGCAAAAAAATATAATATAAAAAAAATAATTAAATAATCGTTAGATATTTACACTTTACTAATCATATTAGCTATAAATCAACTTGCTAATTCTAATTATACGCACATTTTTATTGTTTCTTCATCCACGAGAATATTAAAATATTCCTGTCTTTCATTGCTGCTTGTTTTGCTGCTGGTTTTACTTTTTTTCTACCTATGCTAGTAACCTTAGGGGGTTATGCTAGCGTAACCGGGCGAGTAGGAGAGCTCACGGAGCTCTAACCAGAAGAATGGTTTTACGAAACACAATATGTATGTATGTAATATATACTCATTTCAAGTGATTCAACTGGACAGAGGCTTGGATCCTGTAGCTGATACCAATTTTCCGAAGTAAATACTAACGTGTGTTCACTGACAACTTCCACTATAAAGAAACAACATGGGGTAATAAAATGAAAGCAGTAGGTACACATTCATAGTGTCGACGAAGGTAAAAGGGTACAGTTTGTGTGCCCGCGCTTAGGTGTTACCACCCTGCCTATATCTGCCGTAAATCCTTCATGCATTATGGCTGATAATGTAAAATATCTGTTAACACAATGCGATTGAATATTTGATTAAGGATCGCTATTACTTTGTAGTAAAGGTAAGCTATCTGATAACCTTGGAGTGAAAGAATTTATTTCATTTAAAGAATAATGAGAATAAAAAAAATATGCTAATTATGAAACGCAGATGAAATCAACAACTTATTCTCCCTTTAAAATAAATGACTAAACAAAACTGCCAAATTCAAAATTTGTTTGATATTTATCGGCCATGTTCAAAAATAGAATTATCGCTTCACTATCAGCCATTATTAATTTAAATTCCAATTATAAATTTCTTCAAAGGATTCGGATGCACCATAGTAACTCCAGACAAGAATTCAGATGAAAAAATGAGCACGATAAGTTTACTAGGAGCGGAAGTTGTTCAGACTCCAGCCATGGCACCTTGGGAGAGCTCTGAGCATTTCTTGTCAGTAGCTAAAAGAAGACTACTCGAAGATCCGAACGCTATATCTTGCGATCAGGTATAAAAAAAAAAAAACATTTGCGATCTTTTATGAGACTTCCCCAGAGTCGATGATGGTTAAAAAAATATTTAATGGTAATAAGTCCTTAAAAAATGTTAAACATGAGTGATTGATTTAACCTGTTAAAATAATTAGAGCATCTTAAGAGAAGCTGAAATAGCCTCTCAAGGCTATCAGCATAGGTAGGGAACAAAAGAGCATCTTTATTTGAAATAATGAATTAATTTAATTGCAGTACAAGAACGATGTTAATCCTAGAACTCATTACGAATACACTGCTGAAGAAATATTAGCCTTGGTTCCTGATGTGGATATGATCGTGATGGGTTCAGGGACCGGTGGAACGGTGACAGGTGTCGCACAAAAAGTGAAAGAGAAATGCCCAAAATGCATAATTGTGACGGTTGATCCTCAGGGCTCTCTCATATTTGGTGAAGGGCCTGCCGATCTCTACTTCGTAAGTTTTGGTGAACGTTAGATTTCACTATACCTCCAAAATGTATCTTATTCCAAAAGAAATGGCCCACCGGTTAGATTAAAATAAATATATGCGTAAACAAGCACAATAAGTAGACGAAGATAAAATTGTGAACAAAACGTGATTGAAGTTGGGTAGTGTTTATTAATTTTGGGCAAAGTCACGGAAAAGCGTGACCCCGTTTAGCTAGTTTGTAATAAACTAGACAGAAAATAAGTAATTATTGCTTTTGGATTCGTTCGTAATTTATCGATCTAACTTTATTAAATTTCAGGTTGAAGGAATCGGAGGAGATTTCGTTCCAGATGTGCTGGATAAAAGCGTGATCGATAAAGTTGAAAAACCAAATGATTATGACGCGTTTAATATGTCCAGGGAAATAATTAAAAAGGAAGGATTATTATGTGGTAAGTCACAGTAAAATACACAGGACTAATTGACATTAGCATAAGAAAAAGCTGAGATTGTGGCCAAAAAAAAAAACCCTTTTTTTTATATCACTCAAATTTTTTTAAGCGTTCGATGGTTATTTTTAAAATACCATAGTTTTATTTCAAATAAACAATATTAGTCAGATGTAGAAGGAAAAGAAAAAATTATTGATCTCCGTTAGGAGTGATCCTTGTACGACAATATAATTAAACCACTTTATAAAAATCTATTTATTTGTTTCTAATGAATTAGGTCTTTACATACAAAATGCCTATTTAGTATAGATAAAGTTAAAGTTTAAATGTTTTTTTATTTCTATTGATCAAAATGCGCACCAATGGTATCGATGCAACTATGCCAGCGCAGCGATAATTTTTCAATGCCTTTGATCATTGAAATATTTAGAATTTAGAACTTACCTTTCAAATGGCCAGTATTGTAAAACGGCAATTTCATTCGTAAAGACCTTTTATCAATATTTACAATCTACTCTAATTAAATACCAAAGTACAATTTCGTAGTGGTAATAGCAACCGGTATTAATTACATCATCTAGTACATAATATACATCTCATTTCATGATTTCTAAATCGTTTCATACGAATAATAATGAGCATGACGTTTTAAAATTATCTACCGTTTTCAACTAAGAATTTACTGTCCTGTCTCGTGTAAAAATAAATTAAAAAATCACTAAAATATTATAAGAGCCAAACAAAAAGCTTAAATGATGTGTAAGAAATTTCTTTCGTACCGTCGCGTCACCATTAAAATACCTATTTGGTGTCTCACACCGAGAGCTTGGCTCGAATGTTGATTCAAGCCAATTCATTGAACTTACAATACATTGTTAAGTCGGATGCCTGCCACAAATAAGCTGTGACAAAGTATTTATTGTGATTCTGTGACTAGAATACATTACGGAACCACAACAATGTTGCATGTTAAAGTACACGGCTATGAACATGCATTTGGTATCGACATGCAACTATAGCCCTTATTCGCATCTATGTATGTACATTCAAGCAATGTTAACCCGACTTCACTGACAAGGTTTCAAAGCAGGTTTATTTATAATAGATGAATACCCCTTTATATTGCACGCACGAATACAGAATAGATATTTAATAATAAAAAATATATATTGTAGGTACTTATATTATCATGCAATCTAAATAGACCATTTACAAATTACCAAAAATTGGATAGTTGTGATATCTGACATAACATCCGGTATGAGCAATACAATTCAGAAATACAGGAAGTTTCAATCTGATTCAATGCAGTGATTTGGGTGAATGAACTCATGGACCATCTGGTGTTGAGCGGCTAAACAGGAGCCCGTAGACATCTCAAAGTGAAAGTCAAAGTACCGGGCACCGTATCATTGTATACATATTTAATTACAATTATAAGAACTAAAAACTTTTAAAATTGATATCGAAATATTTTAAATCTATCTACATCATTTATCTTACAGATTAGCATTTAATAAGCGTGATTAGGTATTTGTTTAGGTATTTGTTATTTATTGTTTATAATAGACAACGAAATTAACCTAGTATGCGTCTCAATGCCAATTTAACTATTTTAAAATGCATTCGGTAATCCCCAGGCGGTAGTAGCGGAGCGGCCATGATTTCTGCTATAAGGGCTGCAAAAAAACTCAACTTTGGAGCTGGGAAACGTGTGGTTGTCATTCTGCCTGACGGTATTCGGAATTATATGACTAAATTTGTATGCGACCAATGGATGGAAGCGCACCTCTTCAAAGAGCCACCAGAACGTGAATTTTTGTATGAATTACCAAGATATCTTAATAATACATATATTACGTACGATCTTTACTCGTCCAGTCTGATAGTTAGCGTACACTAAAATCATAACCTTAATTCGCATGTAGATTCCATTTAGTATGATCTATGTTTCCATAGTTCAAGAAAGCATCCTCAGTATTACTTCTTTAAATCTGAACGTATTATTATTTTGCACCGCAAATCTGCAAATAGTTTGCACCAGAAAATGCTGATATTTGTTTGTCCTTTGTTCTCCAGGTCAGAATCAATAAGTAAACTTTTCTCTTGTTAATCTGTATTTTCCGATCGATTGTAACATTCCACACAATGGAACATATAGCACGTTTTATCCTAAATGCTCAGATGTAAGTTTCTACAAACCGGAACACATAATCTACCACTAGAACCAGAATCTCGACCCACTAAGAGTATCCGATTTTTTATCAACGCATCAACTACACATTATCTACAAATATTTTTGAGATTATTATCGATATTATTAGATTCGACAAATCGTTATTTATAAAAAAAATATACTATCTTTCAGGTGGTGGAACAGATGTATATCAAACTTGACCTTAAATAGAACAGTGCCTCGATTACTAGAAAACAATACATGTATAGAGGCACTGGCCGCAATGGGATCTGAAAATAATGTTGCTTTAGTGGTAAACGACGAAGGGTATGTTTGAACTTCCAAAAACACATAATACTCTGATATGTAACTAAAACGTTTCAAATTGTATTCGGTTTTAATTCTATCTATAAAATTCTATCTATGATAAATTCTTAAAATAATTCATCACGAAAATCATATCATCATATATATTATAAATTTGTATGTCTTTTTCTTTACAAATAATTCCATCGTTATGCTTCTCCAATAAATATCACAAGGCTTTACGTGAGTCATAAACAAATATACTACATTCCTTTAAACCTACGTTCGATTCTAGGTTCTTTAAAGGCGTACTTACAAAGGATAGTTTGAGATCCGAAGCCACAAATCCAAAGAAAGCGGGCCGTATCGATTTTAATGAGCCCGTGAATCGACACCTTATCAAGACGTATTATAAAATAGTGGAAAACCGAGGAAACCCAACTGTGGGGTTAGCTTCGAGAATATTAGACATTGCTCCGTTTGTTATAATCGTTGAAGCCTATTATGAAAACAGTAATAAAAAACAGTTTAAAGGTAAGAACCAATATATGAACATTCTTAATCGGTTCTAGTTTAATTTTCACAAGCTCTACCTGCGCTTATGATATTATTAGCACATAATATGTATGTATTGTAGCAGTGACTATTTTATTTACGATTTATTTCTGGTTTGATTGTTATCTGATCAAACTACTATTTTTGTTATAGATAGTTTTATTATTCGTAAGACCATAAATAGATGTTAGTTTTTATTTCATTAGCATTGTTTAAGGTTCGATCAAATTGATAATTATAAACAAATTGTCAATTATTTGATTGTCAATTAGATAATTATAAACAGTTTCGTTAATTTGGTTCTTAGGCAGAGTTTAGCTTGATAGAAACCTGCGTATATTCATATTCAACGACTTTTTACTGGTGGTAGGACCTCTTGAGAGTCCGCGCGGGTAGGTACCACCACCCTGCCTATTTCTGCCGTGAAGCAGTAATGCGTTTCGGTTTGAAGGGTGGGGCAGCCGTTGTAACTATACTTGAGACCTTAGAACTTATATCTCAAGGTGGGTGGCGCATTTACGTTGTGGATGTCTATGAGCTCCAGTAACCACTTAACACCAGGTGGGCCGTGAGCTCGTTCACCCATCTAAGCAATAAATAAAAAATAAAAAAACTCATTGTTGTATTGTTACAACTTTACTGATTCGAAAGCATTTAACAGCAGAGCTCTGAGTCAAAAATATGAATTTCTGAACGATGTCAGGCCGCCATGGCGCTAATGCGTAGACTGTAATTTTTCATTTGAAACTAAGACCACTGGCGATGAAAACAATTTTGTTGTGTTTTTGTACAATAAAGCAAAAAAAAACTGTTTATAAAAATGTTTTGTGTTTCGTTTTGTTTTTTCAGGATATATACCGAAGGGAATCGTAACAACAGAGCATGTGATGGAATATATACTGGAACACCAGGACAAACTATAAATAGGAATTTAAGGACTTTAAGGCGATTCATTTCTTAGCGAAATATGAATCGATAATTAAGAAAAACTCCACAAAACTTATCACGATAATTTTCATACAGGCTTACCTACTATGAAAAAAATATTTTTTTAATTAAATGGTTATTTTCTGGCCTTAGTCGAATTAAGCATTGCGAACAATAAGTCTGTCTCCTTTTAAGAGTCAAACAATCCGTAACGATTAAGTTATGAAAAAAATTAAATCATCTATGTAACATAACTTACGAACTTCTTCCAAGAATTAAGGCATAATAACTATGGAAAATCTAAGCCTTATGTATGGGTACATAGATTTTTATACTAATTATTTAATAGTACGAATATAAACCTTACATTTAAACTTGAATTTCGAATCGTACTTTTCGAATCTTATGTTTGAAAATATTCGGATATTATGCTTTTGCGGTCTTATTCATAATGAGCTATTGGAGCTTTATGGTTTAATAATATGTGTTTCTTTTTATTTCCTAAGCCTATCGAACGATTAGTAAAATTCTGTATTTCCAATAATTTCCCATGGATTATTTACATCTACTGAACGATTGTGAATGACTGTTATAACGCTCTTGGATTTTTATTATAACGAACTTATAAAGCTTAGATAACTAATTTTGAATAAGAACGTTTGATAATTTTAAATGACTTATTAATAAATATTTGTTTTTACCTTCTATAAACGTTTTATTATGAATCACTTTTGGGGGATTTCGGAAAAATAAATTCCAAAACATACTTCTAGAACGTTTTAAATCATTTACAAAGAGAGATTCTGCGTAACCTTTATCCATATCAGTTTCTTCAAAATCAAAACTTCTAAAAAATTGAGAGGCACAAAACCGCAGCTTCTTCGTACCATTACAGCATCACGGGCTCCAATCGACCTAATCTAAATGTTTCTTGGGCTGTCCTAAAAGGACGTGAACAGGGAGAAAAGACATGACAATGGGGTTCAGCAATCCAATTAGACTTATTAGACGGTAATTGCACTCTGTTAAACTCCGAATGTGCCAGAAATTGTATGTGTGAAGAACTAGTCCCACCTTTGTGCTGGAGTTCCCAGGTACCAGCCACTTCTGTTTGACTAATACAGAAAAAGGCCGTTAATAATTCTGAATTCACAGAAGTTCTACAGACAGATTTTGTTTCTTTTCATATTAATGTTTCGTTATACCCTGTGTTCTGAACTGTATGTTCCGCATACAAAGTTCTGCAAGGAGATGTTCAAATTGAACTAAACCTCCTTTTTAGGGTCGCGCCATCCGCTAATGGAACATAATACTCGTCAACCGTAACTTTTCTAAAATAATATTTGCTAGCAATTGTCCGGCGCCGGAATGTAATTTTCTTTCACTAACGCTGTGTTACTCTTTCTTCAAAACCAAGGCAAAAATCTTCAAACAAAACTGCAAACGTAGCTTAAGGAGACACCTGGGCGGATCGCCTTAAGTGTATTATCTATGGAAACCCGCGGACGGCTATGCTTCTATCATCCCTTGTAAAAAAAATTTTTCTACCACCTGATCGGAAACGCGACCCACTGAGAAGATCCGGCGAGAAACTCAGTGGGCTGTGTCTATGTGTTGATTCACTCGTCGAGCCCTTCGTCGCAAGCGACGGCTTCGACGGGGACGGTGATTGGTGCTTGTGATACCTAAAAGCACCGTTACTGGATCGGGAGGAGGCAGACGTGCTTAGGGCAACGTCGACTGTTTACCATTCGGTCCACAGGGTCGGGTATGTAATTTCCGGCGGCCACGACAAGAGGGTTTTCATGTCGTGCCGTCTTCTCGAAGTGGCGCAATGATGCCGACTGTAGATACTTACTGACTGATGCAAGTTCCAGGTCATCATGGAGATCCACGTTCCTTAGGAACCATCTTGTAACATAATTGATAGTGACAACTCAACAGCAGGTAGAATACTGACCTTTTTTTTTCGGCCCTGGAGCCGAACCTCCTACGAGGTCCCCGCGCCTAGGGGGCGCGCGGGGTATGTGGGACTCAACGATCTGCAGGTGTTGAGAGCAGACCGCGGCCCCAAGGAATTTTAGAGCCCACTCACTAAATGACTCCCCTGTACTATTACACCCGACGTCCGATTTCCGTCCGGTGTCAAAACCCGGTCAGAGTAGGGCGGTTCCCGCGGTCAACACTACAACCAGACACGCGGCGCCACCCCGAGGACGCCCGACCGACGGGTCGTCGAGGCGATAGTCGACGACCAACAACGTCGGTCTTCGCGGTACGGCGGCCCTACCAGGCCGCCCGGGCGATGCCGCTGGTGTTCCGGGATACCTCGCTGGGCCAGAACCAGGCTGCCGGGTCGGAACGCGATACAGGTAGAATAATGACCTGACCTAACCGGACCGGACAAAATTAACCAAATATGGCAATACTGCATTTAGTTGCTACTGGGCTGTCCAGATATGTTTATAGACGAAAAGTACGGCATGAACTGGTGAGCCATGTAAACTAAATGATATTCTGATGTCTTTAAGGAAAAAAAAGTGATATTATATTTTTTTCTGTTTTTGTATTTTCTTGAAAATTAACTTTTAAAACAAATACATAGGCTTGTGAATTTAACTTCATCCTGATTGTGAAACTACGGGTCATGACATATGGCGCTGAAACGTGGACATTGACCGAAGGTCTGATCTGTAAATGCAAAGTCGCTCAGTGTTCTTGGAGTTTCTTTGATGGATCGAAGGAGAAATGAAAAAATCCGTTGAAGAACCAAAGCACTAGACCGCACATACGTGTCGCCGAACCGATAGCTGATGGAGCAGACACGTTCTGGACTGGAGACCGCGTGCCGGTAGATGCAACGTTGGGCGTCCCCTTGCCCGGTGGACCAATGACTTACGGCGATATGCGGGAAAATATTGAATGCGGAAGGCGGTGGACCATTTAATTGTAACAGACTATGGGAGAGGCCTACTACTAGCAGTAGAGAGATATAGGCTGATGATGATAATGATGCGAAATGGTCAATAGGTTTTGTAAGTCTCATAAATAAATATTTAAATAATAAATAGGAAATCACACTTTACACACAATTTCTGTGTAAAATGTGATTAGAGTAGCTCAAACTAGCGTTCCCTATACCATGAGAAATTTGGTTCTACTAATAAACAAATGTAAGCAGATTTTTTTTTGTTGCTTAGATGGGTAGTCGAACTCACAGCCCACCTGGTTTTAGGTGGTTACTGGAGCCCATAGACATCTACAACGTAAATGCTGCGACCCACTTTGAGATATGAGTTCTAAGGTCTCAGTATAGTTACAACGGCTGCCCCACCCTTCAAACCGAAACGCATTACTGCTTCACGGTAGAAATAGGTGAGGTGGTGGTACCTACCCGTGTAGACTCACAAGAGGTGCTATCANCTCACAGCCCACCTGGTTTTAGGTGGTTACTGGAGCCCATAGACATCTACAACGTAAATGCTGCGACCCACTTTGAGATATGAGTTCTAAGGTCTCAGTATAGTTACAACGGCTGCCCCACCCTTCAAACCGAAACGCATTACTGCTTCACGGTAGAAATAGGTGAGGTGGTGGTACCTACCCGTGTAGACTCACAAGAGGTGCTATCACCAGTATTTAAAGATACCTAGACAAAAAAGTATAGTTTACAGGCTTATAGCAGTTATAGCGTACACGATTGGTACAACCATTTTGCCTAGTTCTGTAGCTTAGTGCTCACGTAGTATGACGGGCTATTATATAACACAATTCAGATTTTGATGACGTGTCTCAAAACAATTGCAAGATCATTGACACAATCGTGCAAAAATTAAGAAAGTAAAAAAGGACTACGTATATAGGAATATTTTCCTTTGCCATTTAAATAAGACAAACCAAAAAAGAAATATCTTAACTGTCAAATGTCACTTGTCAGTTCAGTTTATTTTTGTAGATACAACTAGGTAGGTAGGTGCCTATACATATCTTACAACTCATACACAATATTATAAATATCCAACTTCAATTAATTTGTCTTTTAGTTAAATTCCTTTCATTCAAGAGGAAACATAGTTATTATATACTCCCTGGTTAGAGCACCTTGACGCACTGTGAATTACTGCAAAAGAATAATTTATACCGCTCGATTTAATTTTAGTTTAATTAGAACTGTATTTTCTATCAAGACGTCGGTTAAATAAAATAAAAAAGTTAAATTGAAAAGCTAGCTGTGTAAATTGATACAATAGTGAATTGTGAATTTTAAATACAAGCAATAAAAACGATAAACAGCAACATGTCGAACCATGTGGATGCTAAAAATGGCACATCGAACTCTGCGAGAAAATTCTTTACACTAAAGGACATGCCTCACATTGTAAGGGCACTGTAAGTATGCAGAGTTCTCACTCTTATGAAAACTGAATTTCTTTATAAGAAAATATTCACAAATGCCACTAACTAATTTAACCTAACATTTTTTTAAATATAAACTTAACAAACAATGTATTGTAATGAAAATATCACTGTTAAACTTGTTGTTAAGGAACTGTTCTTAAAGGCTTATACTAAAAGTAGCCTTTACGTCTTTTTCCTAAATACGGAAATTGGAAACGTACATAATATTTTGGATGTGATCTAATTATGATAATCTGCTATAATTCGGCTGCTTTTTAATTATATTACATTGGAAGTAGTGTGAAGATCATGACTATAATTTAATATTTTTTAAAATTACCAGTACTACAATTTTTATCTGTGATTTAACGGTTTAAATAATGATTTTTTATTGATTTTTTTTGTTAAAAATGTACATATTTTATTTGGCACTGATTTTATACCAAATCAATTAATAATGTTCAATTATTTTTGAGGGATCGAAATCAGAAAGTACATTCAGATATTTTGAATGTAATCGGAAACACACCACTGGTGAAGCTATCCAAATTACCTAAAGATGAAGGATTGAAATGTGAAATGTGTAAGTTAAAAAAATTATACTTCCTTTGCTTATGTTCACTTTTTTTTCTTTTCTTAATTTTGAACTGCCAAGAAAGTTATCCTTCTTATTGAGCAGGGTCAGCACGACATTGAGCCATGCTGATAAAGTTTATATTAAATCTATAAAACTTACTGTCTGCTTCTAACGGGTAGTGATAGACCCAAAACTAGAAAATCAGTAATCAGCTATGGAAGCAAATTTTTAAACTGTAATAATTTGAAAATAAAATGTACGCCACTACTGTGATAGCCTCAAATGTTAAATACTGATATATTAATTTAATTAATTAATTATTTAATTTTATAAATTAAAAGTAAAAATGTCTATCTAACGAAATAACGTTTTATATTGCAGCATTGAGCATGTCATGCACTTAATAGTTTACTTTAATAAGTAATAGTTTAGTTTATATGAATAGTAAATTTGTCCTAATTCAATTCAACCTTATCAGTTGATCTCTGCTAACAGAGTATAAATATATTACAAAGAGATAACTAACAAATGAAAATGTGATGCCATTTGAATGAGCAATCAAGATAAATATTATATTCAACAATAGATTGAGGGCAAACCAATGCTTATTGTATATTTTTTCAAATATTCACTGAAATTATATATTAACTAGCAACCCGCCCTCGCTTCGCTTCGGAAACATAAAATTTTATTATTAATAGGCGGCACGGTAAGACAATAACTGCGGGTGACGCCGCGGGGCGAAGCTAGTCTAAATAAAGTAAGCCTAAGTTACTCCTTATATCATCAGCTACCTATTAGTGAAAGTCTCATCAAAATCGGTCCAGCCGTTCCAGAGATTAGCTGGAACAAACAGATAGACATACAGATAGAAACTGTAAAAATTATTTTGGTGTATGTACCGTATATATACCGGTATACCGTATATATCATATGCATGTAGTAAAAAGCGGTTATTTCAAAATGACAAACAGACACTCTAATTTTATTTATATGTATAGATTTAATGGATTAATGTCCTGGTTTGAATTATTGTAAACAAAAATTAAACTCCCACATTTAAGATGCAAAATGCGAGTTCCTCAACCCTGGAGGATCCGTCAAAGACCGCATAGCTTACCGCATGTTTCTGGATGCAGAACAGAAGGGTATTTTGAAGCCTGGCAAGTCAGTCATAGTAGAACCCACATCTGGTAACACAGGAATCGGACTGGCACTTGCCGCTGCTGTCAGAGGTACTAAAAATGAGATTTTGAATATCTTTTTTACTAAAATAAAGAAAAAACGAAAAAACTTACAGTATCTATTTTGAATTAAAACTATATAGATATATTATTAAATAATAGAAATATTTAAATGAAGAAATACTTATTTGTATTACCTCCAATAAAATTGAATTTATCATTTAGGGTACAGGTGCATTATAGTGTTGCCTGAGAAAATGTCAGATGAAAAAGTAAACACACTTGTCGCATTGGGTGCTGAAATAATCCGCACGCCAACTGAAGCTGCCTGGGACTCACCAGAGAGCAACATCATGGTTGCGCATCGACTCGCTAAAGAGATACCGGACGCCATTATTCTCGATCAAGTAAGTTAAATCATGTTTCCATTTCCTATGTCATATTTTTTTATTGCTTAGATGAGTGGACGAGCTCACAGCCCACCTGGTGTTAAGTGGTTACTGGAGCCCATAGATATCTACAACGTCAATACCGCCACCTACCTAACGGCTGCCCCACCCTTCAAGCCAAAACGCATTACTGCTTCACGGCAGAAATAGGCGGGGTGGTGGTACCTACCCGTAGGGACTCACAAGACGTCTACCACCAGTAAAACATATGTTCACAAATCACTTCCACGATAAACGAATAACATAACAACTTATGATAAAAATCAAACCTGCGTAATACTAGTTGCAGGGCATCTTGTGAGCCCGCACGGGTGGGTACCACCATAAGTAGGCTACTTATTTCGGTCGCGAAGCAGTAACCCGTTTTATTTCAAGGGTGAGCCTTAGCCATTGTACTGCAAAACTGAGACTTAAAACTCTTTATCTCCCTGTCATTTATGTTGTTGATTTTTATGGTCTCCGGTAACCACTTAACAATAGTTGGGCCGTGAGCTCGTCCACCTATCTAAACAAAAAAAATATACATTTCCTTTAGCCGGAAGCAAGCGAAAAATTGCCAATTAATGTACTAACCTAAACTAATTCGCGTCCGCCTAACAGAAAAGTACAAAAAACAAATGAATATGCAATTTCGAAAAGGGCACATGTCGCATATTTTGTCAAATACGTTTTTTCATATACATGTAGTTTTGAGGCTTACCTACACCCATTTTATAATAATTCCAGTAATTTTCAATTCTTAATTAACACTAAAATATATCACAAAATTTAATATTTTAAATTTTACACTGCTTTAGAAAATAATCAGTTTTTTTTTCATTTCCTAAACATTTTACATTCGCAGAGATGTGCCCTTTTCGAAATTGTTGTTTAAGAACATTTTTTTTTAAATCGTTGAAATTGAACAGCACCGAACAGTATTCAAATGTACCTACAGGTTACGTATTGATTGAGCTATTCTACTTGGTAAAACTTGAATAGCTTGATTAACGTGCTTATTTAAGCTTTAAGCTCATTTAACACGACAGATCATTTAATAAGAACTTATATTATCCACCGGTGGAGACTCACTAAAGGTTTGTTCTGTTACTGGCTCGTACTTCAAAAATCGGTACGTATCCGTGCGATTCGGATAAGGTATTATATCGCACATACGGTGTTATAAAGTCAGAGTATAAGAAAAGACATTTTTTAATTGTTATTAGTGAGACGAGAGAGATGTTTGCTTTTACTGATGAAGTTTAAATATTACCATTTGATTTCTATAGTCCAGCAGAACTATATTCTTCTTCTTCTTCTCTGTCGTTTCCTCATTACTGAGGGACGTGACCTTGGTCCAGTTTTTGCACCAGCTTCCTCCAATGCTGCCTGCATTCGGCCTGCTTAATGGCGCCCGGGACGCTGGTGTTTTTGGCCTCCTTGATAATGTCCGTCCACCTGGTTGGCAATCTTCCTCGACTTCTCTTTCCTTCCACGTCACCTACAACTATTAATTTTTCCAAGTTCTCAGGATTTTGTCGGGCCACGTGTCCGAAGTACTTGAGGAGACGCTGCATACAGATTGTAGATAGACGGTTCTTGACGTTTAGCTCCTCGAGAATTGACTATATAAGAATTATATAATAAGATGTTGAATTTTTCAACGTTGCTCCTGAAAAATTACATAATTTGCATAGGTGACGTTATCCCACCGTATGTGCGATATAATATAATTCTCATATTTTATTATAGTACTAAAATGTTCCTTTAAAATAACCATAAACGAGACCAAACTTTAATGTCAAATAAAGTCGTATTGCGTAACAACCTATATAGGTCTATGGTAACAACCCTTTTTTTAATCGCATTCGATTTGACATTCCTACACGTTGCCGGGTTCTATATCTCGTTTGTATGCAGTTAACCCATGATAGCAACGGGTCACGTTGTTTTCATAACCTCGAACATCCAGTTATCAAAATTATCTCCACACGCAGATCTTTTGAACTCTACGAAATCCTCTGATAATATAGGACAGAACAGAATTTGTAGTTGAAATTCGTGATTTCTAACTTAAATGTTTAATATTTTTTAGAAATAATGTAGTTTGATATACATGGTATCACTAACAATGACGATAATGTAACTGGTGTTACATAAGAAATGAAATAGGAACGTCTGTGCGATTGCGCGAATATATTTTTTCTTCTTAATCGGTGATAGCCTCGTGGGAATATTTCAGCTTCGCCGATGTGGTAAGCAGGCGCTTGAGAGAGTTTGCTAAAACTAGCAAGAGCAGTTTTTCGCTGAATCTAGACCCTCAGGCTGGTGCCCCGTGAGCTCACGTACTCGTTCTGCGAGTCTAGTAACATCGAGGTTACTACAATAGGTATCCCCGTTACTATTTAGTTTGTATATCAACGATATACCCCGGTCTCCGGAGACCCATCTAGCGCTCTTCGCCGATGACACGGCTATCTACTACTCGTGTAGGAAGATGTCGTTGCTTCATCGGCGACTCCAGACCGCAGTAACCACCATGGGACAGTGGTTCCGGAAGTGGCGAATAGACATTAACCCCACGAAAAGCACAGCGGTGCTATTCAAAAGGGGTCGCCCTCCGAATACCACTTCGAGCACCCCACTCCCCAATAGGCGCGTAAACACCTCCGCCGTCAGCCCCATCACTCTCTTTGACCAGCCCATACCGTGGGCCCCGAATGTCAAATACCTAGGCGTCACCCTCGACAGAGGGATGACATTCCGTCCCCACGTAAAAACGGTACGCGATCGCGCCGCGTTTATACTAGGACGACTCTACCCAATGCTTTGTAGACGAAGCAAACTGTCCCTCCGTAACAAGGTAACCCTCTACAAAACTTGCATACGCCCCGTCATGACGTATGCAAGCGTAGTGTTCGCTCACGCGGCCCGCACCAACTTGAAACCCCTTCAGGTAATACAATCCCGATTCTGCAGGATAGCCGTCGGAGCACCATGGTTCCAGAGGAACGTGGACCTCCACGATGACCTGGAGCTCGACCCCGTCAGTAAGTATCTACAGTCGGCATCGCTGCGCCACTTTGAGAAGGCGGCACGACATGAGAACCCTCTTGTCGTGGCCGCCGGAAACTACATACCCGATCCTGTAGACCGTTTGGTAAACACGTCGACGTTGCCCTAAAGCACGTCTGCCGATCCTGCCCTGATCCAGCTAAGCGGTGCTTTTTAGGCAATCACAAGCACCAAGTCACCGTCCCTCGTCGAACCGTCGCTTGCGACGAAGGGCTCGACGAGGAATCAACCCATCAACACAGCCCACTGAGTTTCTCGCCGGATCTTCTCAGTGGGTCGCGTTCCGATCCGGTGGTAGATTCTGCGAAGCACTGCTCTTGCTAGGGCGGTGTTAGCAATTCTCCGGTTTGAGCCCCGCGAGCTCACCTACACAAGCTAGGGTACGCTGAAATAGCCTCTCAAGGCTATCAGCATAGGTAGGAGACACAATAGGTAGGGGGGAAAAAAGGTGAATCTACTACCGGATATTGCTCGCTAGACCGACGGTCCGATTTTTTTTTCCTACCTATGCTAATAGCCTTGAGAGGCTTTTTCAGCTTCACCCTAACATGTAGATGAGCTCACGGGGCTCAAACCGGAAGTGTTGCTAACACTGGCCCTAGCAAGAGCAGTGCTACGCAGAATCTACCACCGGATCGGAAACGTGACCCATTGAGAAGATCCCGCGAGAAACTCAGTGGGCTGTGTCTATGAGTTAATTCGCTCGTCGAGCCCTTCGTCGAGGTTCGACGAGGGCGGTGACCGGTGCTTGTGGTACCTAAAAGCACTGTTAATGGATCGCGAGGATCCGTAATGACGTGTTTTGGGCGACGTCGACAAACGACGGTCCGAAAGTTCGGAACTTTTATTTATACAAGCTTATCTTAAAAATGTCGTAAGTGACATTCAAGCATGTGTTAAATACCAATGCCACACACTATCTTATTATGACGAATCATTATCTGCCCACAGTACAACAACCCGTGCAATCCATTGGCTCATTACGACGGCACCGCGGAGGAGATCCTTTGGGCGCTGGACGACGCCGTGGACATGGTGGTGATCGGCGCCGGAACCAGCGGCACCATCTCCGGCGTCGGGCACAAGATCAAAGAGCGCTGTCCCGACTGCGTCATTGTTGGGGTCGACCCTTACGGATCCATACTCGCCGAGCCTGAAGTATTGAATAAATCTGACGTACAAGTTTATGAGGTAAACGATTTTAAATCATACCAATCAATTTAAAACAGAATAAAAAACTATGTAGTACTGTGATGTATGGTTTAGATATATGTATAGTAGACATTTTCTTCGGTTTTCGGGAGTCGTATACAACTAAAGTGACCACGATAACTAAATAATTCGAAACGCCGGAAGTAATATAATGACAATTTAAAAAAAATGCAGGATTAAACCTTAAACCTAGTTTTAATTATAGTATGTATTTTTTTACGTAATATAAAAATATTATGTAATCTTTTCCAAAGAAATACCTACTTGAATATCTGATTTTCAGCTCAGCACTACAACCTTCACAACTAGTCGTTTTATTAAAAACGCAAATAATTATTAATTGTTTTTTTTTCTTAAGACATCAGCAATATATAATATTACATATTTCTATAATTTTTCTTATCTTGTAAGCCGCTTGTCATATTTATCGATTTTGTTTAGATCCAAGATGTCTTATGAAAATCTGGCGTTAAATATTATTTACATACATCAATATGTATGTACATAATATTTAAACAACAATTATGAAATTTTTTTCAACAATTCAATTCATTTAATTTTTTAAACATTTCAGAATTTCAACAATTTGAATGTATGAGTTTATGAGAAATGATCACTTTGGGCATCTTTGAGCTACAATTCTGTGTAAACAATTATTATTAGCTTCTATATAAAGTCGAATAATGAAATTAAACAAATATATATTACTAGCGACCTGCCCTCGCTTCGCTTCTGAAACATTAAAACACACATGAAAACAAAAAAAAAAAAAAAAAAAAACGTAGCCTATGTTCATCAGGGACAATGTCGGCTTCTAATGGAAAAAGAATTTTTCAAATCGGTCCAGTAGTTTCGGAGCCTATTCGAAACAAACAAACAAACAAATGTTTCCTCTTTATAATATTAATTATAGTATAGATAAAATAACATAATCGCCATTAAAGTACGGGTCTGCCAGAGAACTAACTAAAACATCTCACTAGTGAACTTTGCGAGTGTTAGTAACATTGATATGCCCTCGTGGCGCATCTTCAAAATTTTCATTTAAAATTAATTGGTTTGCTTTTTAAAAAAAAAACATTTTATATGAAAAAATATATTATTGCCCTAGTCTATAAAGTAATGTAGGAAACTTCTTAGGATATCAAAAACGTTAGTGTTATTCTGCAATCTTAAAATAAGCTATTACCGTACGTACATACTTTGTCAGTTGCTTATCAATAAAATTGTCTTCATTATCACACAGATTAGATTGAAATTAAACAAATCTGGGCACGTTCGATGCGTTCGATATAATGTGAAGAAACAAAAGTTACAACAATAATATTCACTGTTGTCATGTTACAACAGTTGCGTTATTGCGACAGTTTCTGTTTAGTCAGTCTTTAATATAATCAACAAGTTGTTGGTGACGGCTACGTGAGGAATATCGACCTTCACGACGATCTAAATCTAGGACCGATACGTAAGGATCTTGAGGTAGCGTCAGAACGCTACTTTGACAAAGCACGCCGAAACGCTAAACCTCTTATCGTGGCCGCTGTTAGTTACATATCCGATCAAGGCAAAACGGCCGTCGTCCGAAACATGATGCACTATCGGTTGTTTTAGGTAAGGCACAGGTCACCGTTCTCGTCGAACCCGTTGTTTGCGACGAAGGGCTCCGCGAGTTAACTAACCCTCAGATACAGCCCACTGAGTTTCTCGCCAGATCTCAGTGGATCGCGATTTCTAACCGGTGGTAGATTCTGCGAAGCACTGCACTGACTAGGGCTAGTGTTAGCAAATTGTCTCCGGTTAAAACCGCGAGACCAACTATACCTCCGTGCAAAACTGGAAAGGTCCCTGAGTAAAGGAAAGAATATGACGATGAAGATGGTTCGTCGGACGGATATTGAGCCTTATATAGCCACGTAAATTAACACACATTCAAATTATTTCACGCGGGCCACGCTTATTCATATTCATAAATTAGTATTTTCGTCGGTGTTTTCTCGAGTAGACATGATTAAAACTACTATTACGGTTTAATTTCGCATGTTTTATTGTCATTATATTATTTCAGTACCATCGTGTAATGAAAATCAAATCTGCAAAATTATAATTTGCGTAATTTCTAGTGGTAGGACGCCATTTGAGTCCGCACGGGTAGGTACCATCACCCTGCCTGTTTCTGCCGTGAAGCAGTAATGCGTTTCGGTTTTGTATGTAAAAAAAAAAAAGATACCTTAGAAATCATATCTCAAGGTGGGTGGTGGTATTTACGTTGTAGATGTCTATGGGCTCCAGTAACCACTTAACACCAGGTGGGTCGTGAACTCGTCCATCCATATAAACAATAAAAACAAAAAATCCGACGTATCGAATACCTACTTTACAATTTTCATAAACCACTCAATCATTATAATAACCAATAGAAAATTCAAGATAGCCTTTGATTACAATATATGATAAGATGCGTTAAGTAAGCAAAGTCGTATATAAATTATAAATGATAACAAGAAAAATAATGACGCAACTATAGCGCGTAACTAAAATAGCGCGCGTCTCCGATTTCCTGTATTACATAAAATTAAAATTTATTTTATCTTTAATTGACTTCAATAAATCACATAAAACTTACTAATATGTAGTAGCTTTTATCTGGAAACCACGTCCAAACTCACTATTTCAAATTCAAGGGAAAATTACTAATTCTTCTAAATCTATAGTAGGTATCTGTTAAATATCTTTAAAAATTATTTCTAACCCGAATGTCTTCTAAGAAAGTAATCTTGTAACATATTAAAAATCAAACAAACAGAATGAAAATTTGCGTAATTAATGGTAGGTAATAAGAATGTATTGAGAGCACGCACGAGTAGCCTACCCCTATCTTTTTTTTGTGACGCAGCAGACATCCTTTCCGATTAGAAGGGTAGGTTAGCCAGAATTATTTTGAGACTTTAACTTCATTAATATCATTGTACTTCAGAGAAATAAGATTCATATTATCTTAAAATCTATAAATTTAAAATCCAGTAGGTACATACGAATAGACATTAACACTCAACACGCCTATATAGTATTATATGTATATGCCTAAGTCATCATGATACATAATACCCCAGAAATNCCGATTAGAAGGGTAGGTTAGCCAGAATTATTTTGAGACTTTAACTTCATTAATATCATTGTACTTCAGAGAAATAAGATTCATATTATCTTAAAATCTATAAATTTAAAATCCAGTAGGTACATACGAATAGACATTAACACTCAACACGCCTATATAGTATTATATGTATATGCCTAAGTCATCATGATACATAATACCCCAGAAATCACCTCGGTTCTAGAGGGCTCGTGTAAAAATTCAATATAAACTAACATTTCACTGGCTGTTTGTTCTTATTCAAGGAGATGATTATTACTGCTTGTCTGATAGCGAAGGGCGAATTATTGCAAAACATGATGTAATTCAAAACAACTTATCACTGTTCACTATTGACCTTTTTGTTGAAAAGCTTTGCGGGTTTTTTTTGCGTTATTAATATATATGAGCGTACATGAACTTCGGCCCCCTGATCGATTCGTAGTCCGTTGATAACACGAAAATGCCGTCAAGGCGATGCCATGATATAGAAATCTCAGTTGGATCACATAAAAAAAAACTTAATTACTTCTACTCTGCTTCAGGGAAAATATTTTTATTAAAAATATTTTGTATCATTTTAACCTTTCCAGACATTTACTTTAAACTTTTATCAGGAATTATTATGAACTTAACAAATTACAAACCGCCAGTACCTACATAAAGTCGCATACTCTTGTTATACGTAACTGAACGAAGGATTAATTTGATAAATGTTATCGATTTTAAGGTTGAAGGTATTGGTTACGATTTCTTGCCGGGCACACTCGACAGAACCGTCGTCGACAAATGGGTGAAAAGTGATGACAAAAACTCTTTGGACATTGCTCGCAGACTCATCAAAGATGAAGGGCTTCTATGCGGTAAGATTTTGTATAAAATATATTAAACAAGAACGGTTACATTTACAAGAAGTGAATTCATAAATATAAGAGAGAGAGAGAGAGAGAAACAAAGCGTTACAAAAAAAATTGTAGATTCCAGGGATGTTCCTTGGTTCTATCTTATTTAAAGTAATACAAAGAAGAGTTACCTTGAGAGTGTTACCGGTATTAGAAAACTGTTTTCACCTTTATTATCCACTATCCCATCAACTAGTATCTAGTTTTGGGTAATAGACCGGGTTATGTCGGACTCCGGCGCCTCCAGAGAAGAAGAGGGAGAAGAGGAAGACCAAAGTCCTCCTCTTCTTCCAATTTCTACCGGGAGACTACGCCTTGAGAAAGGCGCGCGAGGCGCTGCGCGGCGTCTACCACGCAGGACCCGCCCCGCAAAACCGACTACCGACTAAACCCCATCGAGCTCTACCACTCCGACTCCACGAAACCTACGGTACTGCACAATGAAATTGTGTGGCCTAAAGGATATGCATGATGCGCGGTGTACAAAATACCGCTTGCTCAAACTAATTTCCATGATGAAATAGATTTAGCACGTGTTCACGAATTCCTTCCTTGACCATTATATAATATCGCCCAATACTTTCCCCCCTGGTTAAGCCATTAAAAGTAAGCCAAAAAAAAAGCTATGGATTTTGTGCATTGATCCCATTGAAGTGGCATGGTCTTTAAATCAGCCGGTGATTTTTCTAAGAAGATACATACTTATCAGATGTTCATGAACGATTTAAAAAAAAAAAAAATTATATCGTGTACTAAAAATCAAGTGGTGATAAGACGTATTGTAAACTCGCACGGGTGGATACCACCACCCTTTTCAGTCCGGGCGCTAAGCAGTCATGCGTTTCATTTTGACAGATGTGACAGCCCTATACGATACGACCACGTGTCTGAAGTTGGGTGACGATATTTCTATTGTAACAGCTCTGATAACCACTGAACATCAGATGGCCTGTGAGCGCGTTTACCCGCCTATGCAATAATAATTAAATATGCAATTTTGAAAAGGGCACATCTGTGAAAATGTAAAATGGTCAGGAAATGAAAAAAACTGATGAATTTCTAAAGCAGTGTAAAATTTAAATTATTAACTTTTGAGATATACTTTAGTGTTAATTAGCAATTGAAAATTACTGGAATTATTATAAAATGGGTGTAGAGAAGCCTCAAAACTACATGTATATGAAAAAACGTACCTATTTGAAAAAATATGCGACATGTGCCCTTTTCGAAATTGCATATTCAATTAATTATTGCCTTTCTTGTGTCATACAGAATAATTAAATCATTAACTTGTTAAGCAATTTAAATGTTAATATGAATCAATTCGCGTGGAATACATAATAAATGCTCGCATGTGTACAATTTATAAATGAAGGTGATGGTCGTTGATTATTGTTGTTTATGTTGTTAACGTGTCATCAATTGTTCTTGCACAATCGATACACAAATGTGAATAAAGCAATATCTACCACATTATAAGCAGCCTGTACGTATGTTATGTAATTGCCTCTTTAGTTGCACGCGAATTGAATATTTTGACGTAATTAGTTGCAATGAATAAATAAAACAGTTTCAAAGTAATTAATTACTATGGTTTACTTTAATAGCAAATACGATGAAAATTATTATTATATTTTAGCCCTCGTTTAAATTTAGAGTTCTTCGTTATTTTTTAATTAAGGTGGCAGCAGCGGCGCGGCGATGTGGGGCGCCATACAAGCCGCCAAATCCCTTAAAGAAGGACAGAAGTGTGTGGTGCTATTACCGGACAGCATTCGAAACTATATGACCAAATTCATATCAGATCAATGGATGGAAGCCCGTAACTTCAAACCTTTGATTAAAAACGATAAATTATTGTGAGTACGTAATTAAAAAACAAAAGATTTTTTTTTGTATCCTGTGTAATCATTGACGGCTAAGTAATTAAAATATACTTACCAATAAGTCATCGTCTATGGTCTCCATAACATTATCATTAAAGCTAGTTTATTTACTACTAAATCCAAGTTAAATATTTTTTGTGTGACCACTTCTTTAGCTTTATCTACATATTATTATAATGTATTTTATTTAAAAAATATATCGAATTTAAAGAAAAAATAAATTGAGATCCTCATATTTTTATTGGTGATTTCAATTAATCGAAATCATTTCCGCGAGCTCGAGAAACAAACAGGACATTTATAAAACCTACATTATTTTGTTTCATAATTAGTGTCTTCGAACTTAAATGCAGATTCATTGTTTATCAAAACCCAGATGCATGCGTAACCTTGCGTGTTGCACATGTTTAATTTAATTTTAAAATAATTGTGTAAGAATTGTTTTCAGAATAGATAAAACTATTTTGATATTATGTGTTCCCTAGATGGTGGGATAAACATTTAACGCAAGATATGGTTCGATCAACAAAAAGTATATCGCATTATAGCACGACTGCGTATGCAATTGCAGCACTGAAAGGAAATCCTACACCACTACTAAATGTCACAGATGATAATGGGTATGTATGTACGTGATTTAGAAAAAATCATTGATTTCTTTCTTGACATCTTGACATAATCATTTGACTGAAAGATGTTAAATTCAATAGAATGTAGGAAAATATAAAATTAATTGTTAATAAACCTAATGTTGCTTTTGATTGTTTGTCTTGTATTGTATGTTTATGTTGTTTGGATTTTTCTTGAACAAATTTTACTGGAAAACGATCAATAAAAGAATGTGCTAAAGTAAAAGTGTTAGCTGATAAGCAAATATTTTTATCATTTGCTCGTCAATAAACATGTTATTAGTTTTTAAAATAATTATTATTTTCGTGGTTTTAGGTCATTAGTTGGTCTATTAACTGCTGACAATGTACGCAAGAAGTTATCAAATATGCTTGCCAAAACATCAGATCCGTTGGACAAATTCTTAGTGAAAAAGTATTACAAGGTAGACTTATCGAACAAACCCAGCTTAGGGCTTGTATCTCGAATGCTCGACATCTCCCCCTACGTTGTAGTCGTCAGATCAGGTAACAGCCATGTTTTTTTAACTTTTTTTGTACATTATTGAAATATTTCTGTTGCAACCAATATCATAAAAAGAAGAAAAAGTCTACATAGGTGGAAATAGTTATCACACAATGCACCTAAATACAAGGATGGTAGAATAGACTTGAATGTGTCCGTTGAACCACTTAACATATATAAACATCTACAGTGTATGTTTACATAAGATAGTGCATACTGCTATAAGTTACGCACAACACTAGGTGCTTGTTCACGTTGACTCGCGGGTGCGGTCACGAAATAAACATATGGCGTAATATAAGAGTTCACGTACGAAACGCACGCGTGGTCTAAGTAGCGGGCAAGCTAGTGACTTGCGCGCGATTCACTCGCGACGTCGGGTAAGTTCAATCAGTTTGAACTTATCGCTAGAAATGATATGTCTTTCAATACAGAAGAAATATGAATAAAGTATGAAATTCACAATACCGTTCTCTTTCTTTATTAATTTCATGCATACCGATTCTAATTGTTATCATCTCCCACTTTAGGTATGAATTTTTGGTTAAAAATAAAAGATCGTCGTCCAAGTTTTCAATCTCTGAAACAGTCACAGTCGCGCAAACGCCTAGCAGCCAATGTGAACACGAACTCGCTACGTCTACCGCGCCCGCACCCGCCGCCGCGTCCGCGCGTTACTACGTGAACAAGCACTAAGGCTTTTCAATCCATGCTGGGTTGGATGGAAAGCTGTTCATTAACTTTTTTTTTTTATTGCTTAGGTGGGTGGACGAGCTCACAGCCCACGTGGTGTTAAGTGGTTACTGGATATAAACTGATAGATAGATACTGGCCCATAGACATCTACAACGTAAATGCCCCACCCTTCAAACCGAAACGCATTACTGCTTCACGGCAGAAATAGGCAGGGTGGTGGTACCTACCCGTGCGGACTCACAAGAGGTCCCACCAACAGTAATTACACAAATTATAATTTTGCGGGTTTCATTTTCATTACACGATGTTATTCCTTCACCGTGGAAGTCAATCGTGAACATTTGTTAAGTACGTATTTCATTAGAAAAATTGGTACCCGCCTGCGGGATTCGAACACCGGTGCATGGCTCAACACGAATGCACCGGACGTCTTATCCTTTAGGCCACGACGACTTCAAAACGACATCCTCTCAAAACATTATCAGCAGCAGTTTAGCACCAGAACAAACCTCTAGGTAGAATCTAATCATGTTGTTTTTTTTTAGTTTCCTCTGCTGTCCTACCTGTTGGAATAATCACATCTGAAGATTTACTCTCAGGTATTCATTAGATACCAAACAAGTAAATGGAAATTCTTAGTTTGTAAGAAATGTTATATTTTGTTTAAATGGTGTAGTCTCAAAATGAATTGTTTTTTTTTTCAATGTAAGCNAACAAACCTCTAGGTAGAATCTAATCATGTTGTTTTTTTTTAGTTTCCTCTGCTGTCCTACCTGTTGGAATAATCACATCTGAAGATTTACTCTCAGGTATTCATTAGATACCAAACAAGTAAATGGAAATTCTTAGTTTGTAAGAAATGTTATATTTTGTTTAAATGGTGTAGTCTCAAAATGAATTGTTTTTTTTTTCAATGTAAGCATAAAAATGGGATTGTTCTGAAAATGAAACATTCTTACAATATCACATAAAATATCTTGCATTTTTACATGACTTTGTATTGTAACTAAAGTGTTATACATATATGTAAAAAATTGCACAACGAATTTTATTTCATTATTTCTACCTATTAAATAACTCTTATAATTTGTGTACGAAAACCTAGTTATATTTCATATAGCAGTGGGAAGATATTACACTGTGAGAGCACATTTACTTAATTGATTGTCTGTATGTTAAAACTTATAATTTACTCCAACTTCAAATGACGTTTGTGGAGAATAATCAGTGATAGGCAACAGCCTGTCTTGTGTTCCTGGCGGTGCATCCAAGAGCGATGGTAGCCACTCACCAGCAGATGGGCTGTATGCTCAACTGTCTACACATCTTGAATTTGTCATTAATGCATATATCCATCATGTTTGGATATTTGATAAAAAATATGTACCTACACTGTGAATATCAACCGGAACAATCAAAGACACTGCTGCCTAACATCAGTTAATGGTGTGTTTGGGAATGCAGTTTGTATTCTGTCCATAAAACATATTATTTGTGGAATAACAATGGGAAAAGTTTAAATAAAATACCATAATTTCAATAAAAATTTTTTTTTTTACTTTGTTTTGTAAATTATGTGCATCTGATTTCACTGACACCTAAATCTGGAATTATGAGATATCTAAGTCTATTATTACCTATTTATAAAATATTGTTTTTTGCCAGGCATTCAAAAAAGGTTTGTTGAGAGTACTTATTAGTAAGCAAGAGCTTCTACATACAAGGGCAATAAAAATAGAATTTTTGTAAAAAAAAAATTGTTACTTCGCATACTTTCGTGCAGAAATACATAAAACTTCAGAAATGTCAGAGAAGGCTAAAAAGACTTGCAAATGGGTAGGTTACATGCTCTACCCATTTAGAAATTAAACATGTTACATATCAAATTCATTAAGAACAACAAGTGCAGCTAACCATTTCATTTAATTTGGTTAATGTAAAGAAAACTGCCAGGTCTGAGTTTACGTATTATAATAGCAAACAATCTAATGAAAGTCTTATGGTGAAGGTGGTGGAGAATGTTGTTTTGCATTAGCTGCAAGTATTGCTCCAGGTGCTGGATAGGGCCTCATTTGATAGAGTGAACCAGAGGCTGTGGTATCTACACCTGTTTTAGAATGTGTATCTAAACCTGATGTCCAATTACCTCTAGGTACATCAGAGTAAGATGCTGGGTCCATTGGATCCAAGTCATTATCTTTGACCCTGAGCCTTTTTTTGTCTCTATGATGTGAATGTTCCTTTTCTCTTTCTCGGCGATCAGGTTTCTTATCTTTTTGAATCTGCGGAACTTCCTGATCCGAGGCCTCACTGCTTTCATCACTTTCGTCGCCTTCTTTCATCAGACGTTCTTCGCGCAATTGTGCGGCAGATTCCGTAGGCACAGCACGGGGATGTCCGGGTGGTATCCACGAAACCAGATTAGTGTGCACATTCCAAAAATAATGTTGACCATAACCTTCATCAAACACTTCTTCCCATCCTGGTGGCAAGGGCCATAGCTCTAAAACTTTCTCCTTGTGTTCTAAATATGTCTCAGTCGGTACCAGTTTACCTTGCTTCCATCTTTTAATACAAAAAGTAGAACATTCATGATAAATATTACTTTTATTAGGGATTCCTCGATGGCCTTT